TGTCGTTTGTAGGGATAGATGAATATGATGTTTCTCCATTCTTTCCCTTGCCCTTAGCGGAACTTGAGTTTCCTCTACTTGCTATTATAGGAAAATAATATGTAACTTGAAAATTGAATAAAAAAAATTAAAAGCTGCTGAAACCGGCTGGAACCACCGGTTCTAGCTGTTTAACATAAAATTCAAAATCTGCTTGAAACCATTGGTTCAAACAAAACCGTCAGTTCCGTATGATTTCGGCCGATTCTTGGAACCGCTGGTTCATGGTTCCAAAAATGGTAGAGCCAGAACTGAACTGTAGGCCACCAGTTCCAGTTCTAGTTCAGACTGATTTCGGTTCCCATCGGTTCGGAACCGACGGTTCCGATTCCAAAAACCGTAATATGGCCGGGTCTACTTGTGCCGAGTAAGTAGTAAATATCTTCTACTTAACCCTGTTGACTTTGTTATGTTATCAAATTATCCCCACTGTGTTTTTTAAGTCAATATCAGATTTAGCCGTTCACTTTATTATGTGTTTTTCAACTCAAACTCTAAAGCACTCTTCCACAACACCTTTCAAGCTAATTTTTAGTATTTTGACCAAACTCTATTTTTATTAATTATAGCGTTGAGGAAGCTTTTTATAAAATTTTAAAGATTCTAATGTTTAACTTTTAGCTTTTAATTATTATTTTTTTTAATAATCATATCGATTATATTTTTATCATTTTAAGTTAAACTGCTAATTAAGCTAATTAAACAAATTTTTTTTATCTAATACTTCTAATTTAAACCGTTATATAAATTACTATCAGTTAAAAACTATTATTGACGAACAGATTCTAAACATTAGTATAAGCATTATGTCATCAAATACTATAAATAATAGATATAGTTTTTTTTTTTTCTAGTACCGCTAACACCGAACAAGTCCTTACATTGAAATAGTATTCAAATAAAATTCTCTCAAAAATGGTAGCTCTGTGGCTTCGCCGGTCTATTGCTTCAACTAAATATTGATCTTTTAATAATTATTTTGTTAATAAAAACAAATTATATACATTGTTACCAAATTAAAATCTACTATGATAAAGTCAACAGTTTTTATCTTCTCTGCGACTTTTGCCAATTTTAATTTCAAACTTTGAAACTTTGAAGCAACCTCCATCTAAGCGCGGATGATTAATGTTCTCTTTACGTTTTAACATTTCCCCCTTTTTTTATTTTTGATTAAAAAATGTTGAAAATAAAGAAATGGAGTAAAAAAACAAAAGGAAATACTACATTTCTTTAATTTATTTTTTGTATGCTTTACATCTTTGATTATTAATTAATCATAAATCACTTTTTAATATTAGAATTGACGAATGTATTAATTACTTGTGAATCAACTACATATTTTACGCCTATTAGTAAGATTCTTTAATAATTTTTTCATTTTCATTTTCAACTTTCTTTCATTTCCCCAAAATTCAATTAGTAAGATTGTAACGTATATTAATTAATTTTGTTTTTCCATTTCGTACTACCTTGGTCTTTAGTGTTTTTTATTCTCGAGGGTGATTATGTCATTTTTCCATTTTTATTAAGCTTTAGACTTGTTCGATAAAATTAGCTGTTTTGGTAACTGTTAGTTGTTTGAGTAAAAGCTAAACGTTACAGGGTTTAACCTTTTATAAAATGTTACTTTAACCTCTAAAAGTTAGTTTAAATATTATATTATCAAACACTGTAGCGTTTAGTGTTTTGACTAAATACTACTTAAAAAGATGTTGCTGAATACAAATTTCATCTTAGAATTTATAAATAGAGTTTTCATATACAGTGAAAAAAATAAGTGAATATTATAATAGGTAGGTTTTACTCTAATTGAAACGAAAATCAAAAATTAAAATATCATTTTTTTTAAATCAAACTACAGTAACTAAGTTGAAATCGTCAAAACCATTCAATTTAGATTTCAATTGGAGTTTTAGGTAAAATTAATTTATTTTTTATAATGAGCCACGAGGATTCTCGAATTCTTTGAGTATGAGATTATTATCATTTTGACATTTGTGACTATATTTTTTTATAACTTTTATTTACAAATAAAAACTCTATCCTTATAAAGATCATCCATAGCTAATTAAAAATTTTTAGTGTTATATTTTGTAATTTTATAATTTTTAAACCAACATGTTCTTATTTATACTTGTAAAGTATATTATCTTCAAAATTTTATCGGACAGGATTTATGGTTTTTAAAAATTTATGTTTTATTTTTTATTAACCATATAATTTATTTTCATAGATGAAAATTTGTTCTTCTATCTAAAAAATAATTTAAAAAAAGTTCTATGAAATTTCAATTGTACCAAATAAATTCTAGATTTTTAAGGCAGTAATCAATCCAAAACTCTAAGGAAACAAGCAATTAGAAATAGAAACCTTAATCACACTAATTAAGCTTAATGATTCAAAACCAGCCAAAATTTTAATTAAGCAGCGAAAATAGAAGCAGACTCTCTCTCTCCACAGCTTTCTTCAAGAGACTATCTTCTTCGAGAACCATTTGAATAGGCAAAAAACCCATTCCATTAGCCATAGCCAACATAATCTCCTTTGTCTCTGCCTTAAACTCTTCCAAATCAACAGCTCCATTCAAATCATGATCGAACTGCAAAAACAGAGCATTATAAACGCGAGAAAGCTCTTCAGGCTCTGTTTTCACATCTATTCCAAAATGAGTCTCGAAAACCCTAAGACTCTGCAATTCCTTCAACATTTCTCCATAAGAAAGTAAACCGTCTTGGTCTTTGTCAAGATTAGCAAAACGGTCGCGTACTGAGACTGTGAAGGCTTCTTCGTCCTGGACGAAGTTGACAATGGTGGCGCTGTCTAGAACTTCAACGCTCATTTTCTCTGATAGCGAAAGGTTTAAAGAAGAAGTGATTTTGATTCTTGAAAGGTGAATGAGAAGTTGGGTTTTGTGTTTATATATATATATGTAGTAGAAAGCAGCTACTGGTTTGGATTTTGTTTTCGAAAGAGAAACTACAACTTGTTTCTCTACATTTCCTCCTGTAAAAGGAAAACCACCCAATGTGATGTTTCTTGGAAGTGAGATCCTCTACCCACTAATTAAAGTTTAATTAATTAATTGTACACCACAGAATTTCGAATTTTTGATTAATTGTCAACCAGAGATATAAAGTAATTTAGCTAAAGCTTTAATATGAATAATTGCTTTAGTTGACAAAATGGATTAGCTTTAGCTAACAATATAGATTCACTTATTAATGCAAAGATTGAAAAAGAAAAATATTAATAGTTTTATTTGAAACAAATGTTTTTATTTAAATTAGAATATTTCTTATCTTATACTAAAAAAATATATATATATATATATTAATTTACAAATTATTTATTTATTTATTTAGTCCCACACATTGGGTGTAGACAGACTAATTATACTCGTCAGTGCAGATCAACAACATTTTATGTTATGATTTAACCATTTATCCTCTTTAATTTTTCAATTATTCATTTAGCCCTTAATTTATATTTTTTATTTCCTTGAACCTTCTGAACAAGGAGGAAGGTATGTAGAAAAATATTTTTCATTTCATTCAAACCAAGCAGGAGCAAATACAATAGTAAAAATAAATAAGGATAATATTTTATTTTTCTCTATAAATTTACTTTTTCCACTATTGCAAACAATGTGATAGTGGGTAAAACAAAATAAGGAAGTTGAAAATTTGACCAGTTAATGGGTAGATCTGAGAAAATGGGACACTTTGTTCTTCAACTAAAGACGCTGTCGAAAACAATGAGAACCGAAAGTGCGGTAAAGAAAGTAGACAGTGTGGGTCTCATTGTTTTTGAATTGAAATTTAGTTGCTCTACACTGCAAGAGTCAACCTGTTTTGATTTTTAAATTTCAAGACACGCTGGGCTTTAGCCCATTGAAAGCTTAATTAGGGGATTCATAGGCCCGCTGAATTCACGCGCCCTTACAAGTTTACACCTGTTCAAGTGAAATTCAATGTAAACTATGTTTGACTTGAGTTTGAACATTCTCCCACTAAATAAACATTGATTATTTAGAGAAATTCAAAAAAAGCATTATTTATTTAGGGTTCATTTTATCTCATAGCTGTTACCACTTGCTCGTTGTGAATAAATAGTGGCCGGTAGCGATTAATTGATGCATATCGGTGTTTTGTAAAATTTGGTAGTAGATGATCGGTTACTCTTAAAATACAAAATGACTATTAAAGATAAAGTTGTTTTTATATATTATAATGTTTTAATATGAATTCAGCGCACCCTACAATTTTACACTGTTCAGTGAAATTCAATGTAAACTATGTTTTGACTTTGAGTTTGAACATTCTCCCACTAATAAACATTGATTTATTTAGAGAAATTCATTATACAAAGCATTATTTATTTAGGGTTCATTTATCTCTCATAGCTTGTTACCAAACTTGCTCGTTGTGATAAATAGGTGGCCGGTAGCGATTAATTGAATGATAAATCGGTGTTTTGGTAGAAATTTGGTAGTAAAGATGATGTTACTCCTTAAAATACAAAATGACTATTAAAGATAAATGTTGTGTTTTATATATTAATAATGGTTTTAATATATTATATATATAATTATATAATGAAATAATAATTAAATAATATTTAATAAAAGTTATTATTTTAAAATAATTATAAAAAGAGATCACAAAAATATTAATTTAAAAAATAATTTTATTAATAATTATTTTTTAAGAGGTTATTAAAATCCAAATCAAATATAAATACAGATCAGCAGCCAGTTGACACGAAAACATAGTTTGCTGAAATTAACAGGTAATTGAGACTGATAATTAAAAAATTTATCAAACACTTACAACCTAATTGTTCGATAAGAATCAAATATCCGTTATATGAATCAGTTAAAACCAAATGTCCTGATAATCAATTACTTTTTTCATTCCATAAAAATAAGCTCACTTTCTTTTCTTTTATAAATGTTCTTAATTTTAATCCTATTTTCTTTTTATACAAAAAAAAAAAAAAATCTTTATAAGTTTTTATTCTACCCATATTTGTTGTACATTTTTTTCAATAAATCTCCTTCCTCTATCCCCTAAACATAGGCTTTCTTAATTTTCATGTTAGGACTCAAATTTAAAAATATTTTACTCCTCGTATAAGCGAAAAGACAATCAGACGATGATCTTTAACTATATTTAATTTTATATACAATTAAATAAAAACTATTTTTACATAACAGAGTTACGGAGGGTATACAACTATTTGTTTTTCATAGAATTAAGATTGTTTAATGATTTTTTAATCCTTATAATTTAAAATTGTGCCACTTTTAAAGGGATGGAAGGAGTAAATAATTATACCACCTCACGTGTTAAAAGCTAAAAACGCTTTCTTCTAGAAATGTCACCCGCTGCTGGTGATGAGGCCAAGGATTTGACTGGTTTGTTTCAAATTGAATTAAATCAATACAAATTAAATGAATAGAATTTTTATAATTGAAAAAAAGCTAAATCTTGATAAAATTAAAATGATTTGATTTGATTATAATTGGTTCAATTTTAAAATTCAAAACCAAGTAATTTTAAAATCAAACTAAATTGATCAGTTTGGTTTTCGGTTTGAATCAAATTATATCCATCCCTACTAGCGATTCAACCCGTTTTTATGTCTCCGCTGGCAAGGGTGTGCACATATATATAAAGATATAACGCAGACCTAACTTGCAGTTCGCCACCAAAATCAAATCTTCAATTTTTCTTTTGAAATCGTTTCTATCAAAGTTCAGAAAATGAGCGTAGAAGTTTTAGACAGCGCCACCATTGTCAACTTCGTCGAGGACGAAGAAGCCTTCACACTCTCAATACGGAACCATTTTGCCAATCTCGACACAGACAAGGACGGATTACTTTCCTATGGAGAAATGTTGAAAGAATTGCAGAGTCTTAGGGTTTTCGAAACTCATTTTGGAATAGACATCAAAACAGAGCCTGAGGAGCTTTCTCGCGTCTACAATACTCTGTTTTTGCAATTCGACCATGATTTGAACGGAACAGTTGATTTGGAAGAGTTTAAGGCAGAGACTAAAGAGATGATGTTGGCTATGGCTAATGGAATGGGTGTTTTGCCTATTCAAATGGTTCTTGAAGAAGACAGTCTCTTGAAGAAAGCTGTGGAGAGAGAGTCTGCTGCTATTTTCTCTGCTTAAAATTTAAATCTATTATAATTATTTTCTCTGAGTTTGTAACTTCTTTTTATTTTTATTTTTATTTTAATAATAACATTTTGCATTTAAAGCAAACTTTTATGAGTGCATTCCTAATTAGTTCAATGATAACCTAAGTGCAGTCCACTCAACTGAGAAGAGAAATGTGAAAAAAAAAGTTTATTGTTAGAATTTTCTTGCAAGAGAGAGGAGAATGTTTGTTACAGAAAAAGAAAATAATGAAATGTGCAATCATTAGTAATCCACCGCTCAAGAGTTTGTTTTGTATTTCTATGGATTGAAAAAAATATATATTATTATGAAATTTAATTTTATTATTCAAAAATAAAAATAATTTAATTTTAATTTATCATATTAATTTTCTAATTAAATTTAAATTTTACTGGATAAAATAAAAAATTATGTTATATACTACATAATGTTTATATTAAATATGAAAGAATATAATATCTTAAAGAATTTTAATTTTTTTGATTGAAAAAATAAAAGATAATTTAATTTTAATTAGTTATACTGCACGTACTGTTGTAAGGTATATATTACATATAGTAAAAACATAATGTACTTAATTGTTGTTATTAATAAATAAGGTATATATGAAATAAGACAATTCATTAAATTTAAATTGTTATAAGAAAATTTAAATTGGTTGAAAAGTAATTTTATTTTTATGAAAATTTAGTTATCTATTTATAATAATATTTACTATAAATATATCATTTTCCTAACAACTTATTTAATTATTAAAATTTTATTTTATTATTTCATAAAATGATATTTTTTCTATTTTATAAATGCTCTTAGACTTTTAGTAAATATAAACTTTTAAAATTATAATTTATAATAATATATATGTTTTCTATACAATAGTAGTCATCTTTCCTAACAATCCACTTTAATTATTAAAATTTTAGTGGTGTGTTATTATTGGTCATAAAATGATATTTTTCTCTATTTTCTGTAAATGCTTTCAGACTTTTAGGGTAAATATAAGGACTTGTTTTTAATAGATTAATAATATATGAGAATATATATTACAAAGTTAGTATATAGGAGTTAAATTTACATTTACTGGGTAATGAGTTAAGATAAAAAATCATATAAGTATTTATATATCTAATTGCATATAATTATATAAATGAAATGTAAATTATAATTGGTATACATTATACGTGGATATATTAACATTATAAGAGTAAGTATAAATATATTTAAAGATTTTATTTATTTTATATAAAATAAATACACACAATTAATTAATTTAATTTAATTACGTTTATTAATTGTTATTAAATCTAAATTGAAATGTAATTAATTAATTAAATTAATTTTTTATTTAAATCTAAATTAATTAAATTTAAATTATTAAAAAATAAATTGATTGATAAGTTATTTTATTTTCAAAAAATTTTATTTGACAAATTAAATAATATTTATGAAGATGTTCTTTCATTAACAAGTTATTTAATTATTAAATCTTTTATTTTATTATTTCATAAAATATTTTTTTTATTTTGTGAATGCTCTTTAGTTTTTTAATAATTTAAATTATTTGCAATATTATAATTTATAACGAAACTAAAAGTTGTTAAAACAGTTAGAGCTCCTTTTATTAATATATAGCTTGTTAATGATTTTATTATTTCATAAAAAAATAACTTATGAAATAAAAATAAAATAAATTATAGAAAATATTTATTTATTTTATTATTTCATAAAATTATTTAAGAACATGTTATATAATTTTTTTAAAACAATTATAGAAAAAATTTATCTTATTTTATATATTTTTATTTTGCAATTGTTCTTAGATTTTTAATAATATTAAATATTTTATAATATTAAAATTTATAATAAAAAAAATTATTATATAAATTAAATTATATTTACTTGCAAAGTGTCAAAATCAATGAATATAAGTAACGTGCCATGCACGATCAGGAAATTAGTATATAGTATAAAATTAAAAATGGGAGAGGAACATTGAGATTATCAAAAAGCATATTTACTTGGTTTATCTATTGATAAAAATATCAGTAAAAAATTTTAATTTAATTGATTGAAAATTTTAATTTAATTTAATTGATTGAAAATTTTAATTTAATTTAATTTTAATTGGTCATATTAATTTTTTATTTAAGTTTAAATTCTATTGGGTAAAACAAGAAATTATATTATATATTATATAAGGTATATATTAAATGTGATAAAAATATAATGTCCTTAAGTATTTTAATTTTATTAGTTGAGAAAATAAAGATAATTTAATTTATATTAATATATTATTATTTTATTTAAATCTAAATTTTATTAGATAAGAAATTATATTATATACTAAATAAGGAAAAAATATAATATTTTTAAGGATTTCAATTTTATTGGTAAAAAAATTAGAAAAAATTAATTTTGATCGTTAAATTATACTATATAAGATACATATATTAAAGATTATTATTATTCATAATAAATTTTTAATTTAGTTGGTTATAATTATTTGCCAAAAAGTAACTTATTCTACAAAAAAAAAAAAAAAATTAGAAAAAAAAATATAACCTATATGATATATAAGTATAAATATATAAATATATATATATATATTACAAATAATATTTGAATATAGAAAATGAAAAATAAAAATTCACTAAAGAAATATATATTAAAAATATGAATAAAAACATTAATATTAGCAAACCATAACAATATCACCCCATAATGAAGTAAGGCTGTAACTACCACATTCTCCAAACGGAAACAAACTTCCTGATAATACAATCTAACCCACAAATATGTTTTTTTTTTTTTTTTTTTTTTTTTTTTTTAAGTTGAATCGGGAGTGGTCAAAATGAAAATTTTTTTGTCAAAATATTTTTACCCAAAGAGCAAAAAATAATAATAATAAAATTTAAGAAAAAAACTACAGCCTTTAATTAAGGTCGCTGCAAATTGATCTCACAAGGAACAAACAAACAAACGGTCAACGGCTGTCTCCGTCTCTGTGGGCCGGTCTCATTGTATTTGATTGAAAGAAATAGAAATATGCTTTTCGCAGATTTTGACCTCCAAGTCTACACTTTTACAGTTATAGGTCAACATCTTTTGATATTTGCATATTTAGCCCATCGAAAGTGTAAGAAACAAAGCAAGAAACAAAGGCCCACCCTCGCCGACTTTAAACCCTTAAGCTTAAACTTAATTATGCTAGCCATTAGATCACGACTGACAGTTCCATGGTTAATTGCAATAATAATAACTTCAATGGTGGTATTTCATTTATAGTATAAAATAGTGAAAAGATGGGCAGAATATACACCAACAACGAAAGCATTTTTTTTTTTTTTTTTTTAAAACCCGTACAGTACTTTTTTTTTTTTTTTTTTTAATTAGAACCCGTGTACATCACAATACACGTTCTGTAACGCTAATGCATCGTGATTCAACGCGTTCGTGTCCGCGCACCGCCCCCCACGCACATATCTATATATATATACACACACAATCCAACTTCTCATTCACCATTCAAAATCAAAATCAAATCTTCTTTAAACCTTTCATTTTCTTCTACATTTTCTAATAAATAGCTTCCTTAGTTAATTTATTCACCAACAGCATCGGAAAATGAGTGTAGAAGTTTTAGACAGCGCTACCATTGTCAACTTCGTCGAGGACGAAGAAGCCTTCACACTCTCAATACAGGACCGTTTTGCTAACCTTGATGCTGACCAAGATGGTTTACTTTCTTATGGAGAAATGTTGAAGGAATTGCAGAGTCTCAGGGTGTTCGAGACTCATTTTGGAATAGATGTGAAAACAGAGCCCGAAGAGCTTTCTCGTGTCTATAATGCTCTGTTTCTGCAATTCGATCATGATCTGAATGGAACAATTGATTTGGAAGAGTTTAAGGCAGAGACTAAGCGGATGATGTTGGCTATGGCTAATGGAATGGGTTTTCTGCCTATTCAAATGGTTCTTGAAGAAGATAGTCTCTTGAAGAAAGCTGTTGAGAAAGAGTCTGCTTCCATTTTTGCCGCTTAAGTCTCTTCTTCCCTATTCAAATGAATGAAAGTTTCTTTATTGTTGTCTATGTTCTTGTCCTTTCTTGGTTCTTCTAATTTTGCCATTGTCTGTTAAGTTCATATGTATTTTACCAAATTATCTAAGCTTCTAGATGTTGCTAAATCTAATCATAGTTCAATAAATAAAATCTCCTTCGGAACTGTTTTCTAGTATATTTCATTGAATTGATTTAGAATTGGTCTTCTTAATATACATGATTCCACCTAGATTTATATCTTCTGCATAACAATTTTTTACAATTAATCATATAAATAATGACATCTCAGGAGCTGGAATGAAGGACAGAATGCCTTCGCCAAACAGCTCAAACAGTGATGCCACTAATTGTCCAGATTTCAAGTCATCCTTCCATACCTGATTAAGGATGGCCAACATCTTTATAGCTCGATGATCTCCCTTGCCTCTTTCGATTTTACGGTCCAATTCATTGGAGTTCGGTATCTGTTCAGAACATGTTGATGGGCCCACAACAGAATCATTTGAAGGATCTGCTAGAGTGCTTGCTTCCCCTTGTGTGGGAGATAGTGGCAAGTCTGTTGGTCCATCAGTTGATATTTTCTTCGGTGGTGGCTGTTCCAAGTGCTCCATGCCTCCTTTGCGTTTATCTTGGTGATTTTCTAAAGTTAGAAAAAGGACATTAGGAAATAATTGTATTTGGTTTCCCAGGAAATACCAAGTCAAAGAGCAATTAGATTTCTCTTTACCACCTTAACTTCCTCAATTCAAAGTTCGTATAATAACCGACTAGAAAGGGAGTATCAGTAAGTTTGGCTTCTTGGGTAGAATGAGATCAAATTAGCTAACATAATCTATGTAGAGAAAACAATTCTATTTTTCAACATAGATCCTAGGAAGTGCTGGATAAATGAAAAAACAATAGTGCATTTTTGAAGAAAAAGTATTTGAGCCAAATACTCGAACAAAAAAAAGGCAATTCCCTAGTAACTAAATTCACAAAAAATGCCACTTCTCGATAATTAATTTCACTGTAAAATGTAAATAGTCATATGTGAACCAAACAAGATGTGATGTTTGCCCCAAGTAAAATTACAATTTGTGAACAAATGTTCCTGAAGGGTCCATATTAGAAATATCCACTACAAGGTAATGGAAATTATTCAAGGTATAATAACTCATATGGTGTCCATCTCCATTGTTGAATGGGCACCACCGATGCATTTTGGTCACTAGCAAGTAACAACATCATTTCACATAAGTGTATTGAGGATGCTCCTCCCACTAAAAGCTCAGACTACCAGGAAGGTCAATTCCTTGCTTTAAATCACTTTCATCACAAACATAAAATTGCAATTATAGGAATTCGAATTTCATTCAAAATGTTAAAAATATTAGTTTGAACCACTAAAATGTAGTATTCGAATGGCATAATTCAAGCAAAATGCAAAGATACTAAGACTTACTTGAATATGCAATTTTTCTATTGGTCTTCCACATGGCATGTGCTGGAGGTGATGGCAAAGGTGGGAAAATCTTGAGAGAATCATATATGCATTGACCCGCTGCATGCTAAAAATGAAAATGCTTGTTGGGTTACACCCTTTATAGGCCACCTTAATACTTCTTCCACTGGACAAGCATCATGTCCCCATATAAGAAACTACTTACCAACAATGCTCCATAAACACGCCAAGCTTCATGCCTCTTCATCTCATTCTTTTGCTTCTCCAGAAGCATCTCTGGTTCAAGAACCTGGAGATAGGGCTCGAGGTTTGGCAGTAAAAGAAGGCGAACCTGCTTGCAAAGTAATAATCATTAACAACAGTATTAATTATCTAGTTCAATTTGCGGTAATCCAGAAAGGAAAACAAATAGCAAGGGGTTCAAGAATGAAGAGATTCAATTTTCCAAATCATATCTGTTAAACAATTAAAAAAAAAAAAAACTGCATAGAAGTGAAAAATATTCACAAGAAAAGAAAATGCATCAAAGCACACTTCCTTGACCCAGAAAGCTATTTTGCAAAAGTAGTAGGGGTGTTCACCCCCCAACTTGTGTGGAGGAAAGCAATTGGAGTTTAGAAAACAGACCACATTAGGAGAAAAGACATTTATATGTTTATTACAAATAATTGCTTGAGGCCAGTCCATAAACCAAAATTTTCCTCAAGGTTGCACAGATGAAAACTGAAAGCTCTGATTCATTATTTTACACATGAAAAATTAGATGGCATATAATCTCTAACAAGATCTACCACAAAATATCAACTGCAAAGAAATTTTCGAAGGATAAACTGAATTCAAAATGTCAGTGCCCCACATAAATAAAACCTAAGAAAGCCACAAGTCTAATGGTGCTTTTTTAAGGTTAAACCTCAGGTATTTGTTTTGTTTTGGTTTTTTTTTTTTTTTTTTTTTTACTTAGGTTTGATTTGAACAGACTTACAAACAAGCTGCTAACATGCAAGTGGTATATGAATATTTCCAATACCAACTGTGCCTCTATTAAATATAATTTTTGCAGTCGTCCCATTAAAATCGACGATTATCATTGGAATGTATTCTTCACTTTTACCAAAAGCAACAGGAGGCTGACCACTCATCAACATTAATCAGGACTTTGATACCGAATTGGTATTGTCAATTCTTTCTTTATACATTATTTGTTCCATCACTTTACAATACGTATTTGTCAAACATTTAAGGTGTATATTGAAAAATCGATGGACATAAATTTACAAGTAGTACTTTACGGCACATAAACATTTTTAACTGATAGAAACATTAAAGTAGGAAATACCACATTGGGTCCTAGGGCTGCCAACCCTTGAATTGCACCATAGTGCTGAGTCAGTGAACGTTTCGGGTCCAAAAGCGCATTGAGCAAAGTTTTGGTCAAACGTGTCTGAAGACTGCTATAGACATGCCCAAACCTGCAACAGAATTTAAAACTTGAATTCCAAATGTGAGATAGAAAGCAGACTAGTTTAAGGAATTTTAAAAACCAGATTGCTAGGGAGGCAGAATAATTAAATTGGTGGACTAATCTAGATATCTTATTTTCCAAACACTATTTAGAAGATCAGACAGGAATTTTGATTCGGACATTGGATTTGATCCAGCAACTACCACTGTCAACAAATTTTTCTTATAGGATCACATTCCATCAATAGTGCTGGGCTACATTTGTTACTTTAAAAAAAAAAAAATGCTACAGATGACTTTATATGATGTCTAGGGGCTTCGCAGATAATAAGCTGGGAGCTTGATCCTCAGTTAGAAATTATGCAAGGATACATAAATGATGGATTGGCAATCGATAACACTACCAAATTTTTTTAGTTGCCTGCAAAACAGACAATGAAATCAATAATTCTTACCTTTTGCATATTGAGGCAACGAGGTTAGCAGTGAAGTCTCTAAGTTCCCAGTGGTTGTCAGCAAATCTATTCCCTAACCGTTTCGCGACAAGGCAAGTGACCACTGATGGCATCAATTGATGTAGCTGAGAAGAAATCCAACTCTCTCAATTTCAAGGACTGCACACTACTCTTGCAAACTACTGATTATATCTATTTGTTGAATAGTTACAAGAAAAAGGTGATCAAAGCTTGTGTTGAAATGGAAAAGATGTGCTTAAATGCCTCAGGCAGTGATGTTTAAAACAAAAATAGCAAAAGAGCAACAGAAAGTCCCAAAAAATGCAGGCATCACTGATGAGAAAAGCCACAATTACCTAGTGAATTAGTAATCAATAGAGGCCAACAGAAGATGGAGCTAAAGAGCCAAGAAAGGTATAGACAAGAGGGTAACAATTTCACTTCCACAAAGACCATTTTCTTATTGCAACATCAAAACTGCCTTTATTCACTGAGATTACATGCGCTGTTTGTGCAGAATGCAATTAATAAATCAATTGCAGATATAAAGGATAACCAGCTTTTAGAGTGGCAAAATGAGAACATAGATATGTAATAGTGGATACAAGTTAAAAATTAAGATGAATCCAACACAACAGCCCCTCCCCACCACCCCCCCACCCCCCGGCCCGTGGTGGAAACAAGAGAGAGAGAGAGAGAGAGAGATCCTTCAGTAAATAAATGTCTTCACATCCACATTTTCTCTTTTTAGACCAAGAAATCGTTCAGATAAATTTCCAAGCCATTTTTTACCACATCTCACAACAAAGAACATTTGGAAACAAAATCTGGCATACTGATCAGGATAAAGTGGGAAAGGCAGCTAGTGCCATCCCAAGCAAGGTGACGGAAATAAACGATCTCTTATGGAGGACAATTTACATGGTCAACCTCATTGATGTGTCAACATTGACATATTGTTAGAGAGACATAACTATTTAAGAAGCAAAATCAAACAGAAGGTTCAACTGTCAAGACCAAGCTAGAGATTATTTCACCTCAAAAAGGCTTATGTATGGTGCATAACTTACATAAGGTTCAATTTGTATGTGTGGATTCTGGAGAAGACTTCGGACAACACGCATCAAAGCAAAGAGAAGGGAATAATCATTTAAACCACGAGAAACCTGTACCATTAGAAAACAAAAATTAAGAATGAAGGTACCCAACTTTTTTCAAATCTGTTGATATGAGATGCACAATCGGGAAATTATTACCTCATCAGCTATGAAGCATGTGAAATAAGGAACCAACGGATGAAGTCCTGAGTCAGTGGCTAAACTCACCAAAGCTTCTTTAAAGAGGGATGAATCAGACTTGCTCAATGTAAGCTCTGTGATTTTATCAAAGTATAGCTGCAAAGGCCAGGAGAAAGATATTAGACAATAAAAAAGTAAACTGTCTCAAGGATAACAAATGAAAAATAGTGATAACACATCGTATACCTGCAGCTCCCTAGATAAAACATGCTTAACTGGCAGTTTAATATCAACTGGAAGTCTATCTTTTTGCTCATTGTTTTTGGAATCAGGAGGAGGTGCAATAACTATATATAAAGCAAGATGTATTAGCTCCAAAACTCTAGTCAACATTGAGGGGGGTAACTGAAAAATACATTCACAATCAGCTCCATATCATCATATTGAGAGTATTTTCTGGAAGGGATTCTAAGATTTTCAGAAGAGAAGCCTCAATCTATTATATGTGTGCATAAGTTTAACACAATGCAAAAGCAAATTTATAAGAACAATATACTTAAGGTCAAGTACATACTAAATTTGAATGATACTGTTTATCCCATTAACCCTTTGAAGACCACAGTATAATATAATACAATTTTAAAACTCAAAAGGTATTAAAGTACTCCCTAATACCCCACCCCTTTCGAGTAATACTATTGCCGTTCTCTAGTTAGTATGCTAGAGGGGATTCATTAGCACTGTTCAATTCCAGATTTGATAGTAGGGATCGATTGTCTTGTCTGAGGAATTACAAGTGGACGATTATAAACTTAGCACATTCTTGATGTCCACTATAGGCATATAAGCTAGCTTGAAAAATGTATTAAGAGTCCCAGAATATGTCCACTACACATGCATATTCTAGTTTGCTAAAGTATAAATGGTCATGGAGTGTGTTGACCACAAAATAGCAGGAGTTTATCAATAGGGATTATACAAACAGAAACTAAATGGTGTCTGCAGAAGAGATTTGACCTTCCAAAGGTGCATTTTCTGGGATAGCAGGTTGTACACCGTCAATAGCTAGCCAGTGACAAACAATTGAAGTATCAAGTGGTGCTTTTGGCAATGGAGCTTCAATCACCTAAAGATGATATCAAAATATCACATAAAAAATGTGATTGAATAATTTATAGTTGACATGATCAATAATCCCTTACATCTTTAAAATCCACATCCTTATCGTCAATGTAAAACAGATCCCTATGACCGATGGCTCTTTTGAACTGCAAAGGACCCCTGGATGCAAAACCGTACATCGGCTGATGCAAGAAAGTTAAACAGAGTGAGATTAATCAAGAGAAAACTGTTTCAAGCACTCGTCCTAATAAATTTGAAAATCAACACATATCAACATCCAATTCCTTCATAGGCATTGAGTTAAAGCAATTATTTACTGAAAACCACATTAAAAAACATATGATAAGCTATCCATATTCTCTTGTTTTAAACTATAAAGTTACACAAGAAATCACACAACCCCATTGGGAACTGTGATCTTTGAAACACGGTTATATTACCCAACATATCTCGGAGATCAGCTTTTGGTAGGTGGATTATAAGTGTTCTCTAGTTATAAATCTTTATGTTATAACAATTTTGCACCAGATAGTAACTATTGTTTAGTTCTATCCAAAAATGTTTCACTTTGCAATGTCATCTCAATAAGAGTTGAGTATCTCTTCCTCTTTTTTCCTTTTCTTTTTTTTTTTTTTTCTGATTTTCTGAAGAAATTGAAACTGCAACTTATTCATCAAACTTATCTCAACTTGTTTAGTTCTACAACTTATATAAAGCACCTAGCATCAACTCCATGCTCATTAAGCCACAAACAATGCAAAACCCTAAACTAATTTTACCAAAGGGATAAAACTTTTATATAATCAGAAGAGATTGCAAATCCCCACTAAGTCCTTAGAATTAATTTCACTCTACAGCCAATAAGCTAATTACAAATCCAAAATTACCTCTACATTTCTGAGATGAAGGGCACCGTCAACATCATCAGTAGTCAAGGTATTTCTCTTGGAATGACGCATACATTTGATTGCCTCCTGCAGAGACATCAGAGACATAAAACAAAGAAAAACAAAGGAAACGTTACTGTAATTGTTCAATAAAAAGGGAAGAAGAAAGAAAGAGCAACCTGCATGATCTCACGCATGCGATATTCGACATCAGGAGCAAGAGCAAGGGCAACATCGTCATTCAAATTGTTTATACCAATGCTTTGAGCTATCACTTGTATTGTCTCCTTCGGGACTATACTCATTATTTCACTTGGTTTTAAATTTTCAAGCCAAAGCAAAGCAAACTCATCTATTTGTGTAGCAGCAAATCTAAAAACGACGATTCCAAAAGCTTCAATTACTGATGGTTGCCATGGTCGAAGAAAATAGAAGAAGAGGAGGAACAAAGCGAAGCTGGAAACGGGGCAGTTTGTTGGACGACTCGGATACCGAATACATTAACTGGATCGAAGGATCAAATTATTATTTTTTTTTTAAAAATAAAGTGTTTATGTGTATACTAACAATAAAATTTGCCAACGAACGGGGGCAAATTTGGTTAACCAAATTAAATTGAATTAATAATTCAATTTCAGTCTATTTGAATATATTTTTATAGTAACCGAATTTAGAATTAAATAGTATAATAATCAATTCATACAGAATTAAATTAATTTAATTTCATCTCTCGATTATTTCAAATCAAATTAGTTATTTTAGCTTAAAATTAAATTCTCTTGAGTTATACACAGTAATTGAACTATAAACTAAAAATTAAACTATTTTATGTATCCAAACTAATTAATAACCGATTTTTAAAACCACTATCTGAATCCGATGAAATGGATCGGTTTAATTTATTTCTCTTTTAAAAACCAAGAATTGGCAACCTCTGTCCATCACGCTTTTAGCCCAATAAACTAAGGTGCTTGTAATTGAAAGGTCATGGATTCATATCCTTACTCTACTGCCATAATTTATAATTGTTAATTCTCTTGAAAGCAAATGTTAGTTTAAAATTGAAATATGAAATGAAAATATAAAATTATTTCTTTACCGATACAAAGTATGAAAAAATATCCTTAATTCAGAGTAGAATAAAATTAATTTTGTTTTTAAATAAAAAAAAGGAACTACTAGATATGTTAGTCACTGCCTCGTTGGCTTTGCCTACCAGTCAGGTGTTGACGTCCCGATTTAAGACATCCCATAGGATGCACTGAATTCGAGCATTGATGGGAAACCCTAGCCCTTCATATAAGATCATAGCGTTGCGGTCCTCAGCCTACGACAATAAAACCTGCCCTAAGACAGAAAAAATTAATTCTTATTCATGTATTAATTTCTCCCATATCAAATGAGCCATTTCAAATAAATTTATTCTTTGGGCTTAAGATACTATTAATCTCGCATGAGCTACATGAGCTCCTAATAATTTGATCAGATAGATTGATTTGATAGTCTTTGAATAGAAATATAGGAATTTATCATGAATATGTCAATCTAAACAAGAAACGGTATAATTTGAAGTTATTGATTATTTTTTTAATTTAAAGGATAATCATCTTAATTGAAAATATAAATAGGATCTTAAAAAGAAATCAAGTTCTATTTCAGTATAATTTTTGTTAAATACCATCTTAAAATGTATTTCTTTAAATTGGGAAACAAAATTTTTGTTTATTTCATATTCTTTTCTTTTCCCTTTGCGTTTGTCAGAGATAGAATCTAATACCCACTGCCCAGTCTCGAGAGACCCGACGACGGATGCCACATTCGGTGCCGGAGAAACTGTCCTAACTTAACATATAAATCATAAAATTAGATTATGAATTAGAAGTAATTGAGTATTCACAAGTTTAGCGAATAAATTTTTTTTTTTATAATCATAGATATCTCACATAAATCCATAAATCCTCCATGACTTGTAAATACTTCTATTACTTCTAATTCATAATCTAAATTTATGATTTATATGTTAAGTTAGGAAGGTGTCTCCGCACCGAATGTGGCATCCGTCGTCGGGTCTCTTGGGACTAGGCGGTGGGTGTTACATTTAGTGGTATCAGAGCATAGGTTTAAGCAGTTCTAGGTTTATATCCTAACTAAGAATTATATGTAATTAAGTGAAGGTATATGCCATATAGGTTTTATAAGGGATACGACTCTGAAATGAGATATACAACATTGATGGATATCTTGGATTATGATTTGGAAACAACCAGCCATTGGAGAATGGTGTCGTGGTAAACAGAGTATATGTTGAGGTTATTACTGATAGTGAATGGTTATATCCTTCTGGACCATTTGAATGAATTATTCTTAGAGGAAATTCTTAGAGAATAAGGGATAGGGATTTGATGTGGTGGTTATTGGAAATGAGATATTATTGAGGCGTTATGGATTTGTGTTCTTTTTCTTGAGTTGATATGATTTTTAAGTGTTATAAGTATATTTGAGATTTGACTTTTGAAAATATGAATTTTAATTTCGAAATTGATTTGAATCCATAATATTGATAGCATGATTGACTTGTAGAAAGGTTTATTTATTTTGAATCCATAAGAAGCATACTTTTTCTTTTAGGTTGCTTATGGATAAATGATTTTGCTATGAGGATTTTTCCTTCTTTTGAAAACTTTGGATATAAAAAATAAATAAATTAAGTTTTCAAATGTGGTTTTATAAAGTTTTGATAAACGAAAAGATTGTTTTATAAATGAAATGAATTCACTTGTATAGATTCATGAACTGTGAAGTATATTGGTTTACGAATTAACCTATTTAATTAGAGCATTGATTTTAGTATATGTATTTGATGAAGTTTACATGATTTTGGGTAATGGAATTTATTATGACTATTGAGATAAGCATTTTTCTGGATAGAATATATATATTAATTGGTGTATTTACATAAATGATATTTATAAGATTTAAATGATGTATGATTTGATGTGATTGGCTATAATAATGGGTGATGAGTATTTTTCATAAGAAATAATGTTGGTGAATGAAACATTATTTAAAACCATTATGAGAAGTGATTTTTTATTTATGAGAAATAATTACTATTTGGTGGAGTAAAGTATATTGTGGTATTCATCAGCTATTTTTCAAATGTATGAATATCGGGAATAATATGAATTACTATGGTTATAAGAAAAGTGGAATTGCTATGACTTAGTGAGTTCTATTTGGATGGAACTACCAAATCATTATGGATAAATGGTTAGGTTGAGATAGTCTATATGGCACATTGCATGATTTGCATAACTTTGTGATTGTGTATGACTATATGTACATATGCATGAAAGTGTTTGAGATTAAGAATCATGTTGGAATTAAGTTGTTAACACTCTTATGAGAATAAGCTATATGATTTCAGGATATGTTCATATAATCTTATCATGCTTTATGAGAATTTACTTCATGCAAATCTTTGAATGTGATATTTAAATTAAATTAATATCATCTTACTATATTTTATGTGTATAGACCTTTGTTATTGAATTTAAGTGTATGATACTCCATGAACTTGAACTTTATAAATTGTATATGCCTTGATATGTATCTTATATGAATGATGCTAGATAGAAGAAGAACTTATGGATTTTCTGTAAGGGGAATAAAGGAGGATCATGAAGGGATCTAATCGGTTGTACGACAATAATTTTATGTACTAAAAATAAATATAAGATTAAAATCTTAATATTTGAATTGTTAAGTTGCTATATGAATGTCATGTGGAGAACACATAGAATATAAGGATAGTAAGGTGCAGAGCGATTAAGGAAGAATTCAAATTGATCAGAAATATATAATTTGAATGTTAATTTCAGGTAATTTCGAGGATGAAATTCTGTTTTAAGGGGGGAGAACTGTAGTACCGCCCTAATTTTATTCTTCTGTGTCTGAATAGTGTTTTAATGGTCGTGAATAGTACCACCGTCCAAAGGTTGGTATTAGTTGGTCCGAAAAAATATGATATAGTATATTGCCTTGTAATAGTTTGGAAGCATGTATGCATGCTTTTTAACGGTAGAAGTAAGTATGAATATTTGGAGAATTGATAATAGTGAATAGATTAATTAAAGTAGGTTAATAATTAAGGAAATTTGAGAAATATTTTGACGGATAAATTTGAGAATTTTGTGGAGAAAAATAAATATTTGAAGGAATTTAAAATTGGAGAAATATCTAGCCATTAGATGAGAGTTACTATGGACCTTAAATCTTAGCCACTCAATTTGAAAAAAAAAAAGAAACAATAACACCCTAGTTTGCTTTATAAAAGTCACTCCATTATTGGAGCAACCCTTTCTCTTTTTCTCCTTCTCGTTCAACAACCCAAATTCCCCTCCTCTTCTCTTCAACACCAAATCCTCTCCTTCTGTCTTTGTTTTCTTCAACTTCACTTCTAAATCCACCAATCACCCATCCAATTGATTTAAGTAATGTATAATAGAGATGCCAGGAGAAGGTGATTTTGTGGACTAATTCAAGAATTGGAGATTTTCCTACTTGGTCAAAGGGTGAATGAACCTTTTACAAAAAAGAAGGGGCAAACGAAGGCGTAAAAGAGTTTTTATTAAGCTGTTAGACGTGTTTAAGGTTATGTTTATAAAGCACACTTACCTTTGATTTTCAAATTTTGATTTTGTCCATTATGCTATTATGTGCTATATTGGGATTTGTATGAATATGATTGAAATGGTTGAATGCTTTGGTTGTATAAGAACATGCTCTTGGGATGTGTTGAAATTGATAATTATGTAAGAGTATTTAGTATGTGGTAGAAATCTCTACCTTGTATCTTTGTCTTTCATGTTCTTTTTCATGATTAAAGTAAGCTGAAATTGGAAAAATGTGTTACTGGGTGTGATTAAGGACCATTTTTCGAGGCTTTTTAATTTTTCATCTGTGTCTGAGCCCTTCACAAAAATTATAGTTCTACTTCTTAGCTTTCCAACTCATCCTCTTGTGTCTAATTTGGATACATATAGCTCAATTTATGACTGAAACACCCAAACTGACTCTGTTATGCCAGGCCACATGCATCTCTGAATTGATTGCCCATTTTGACCACTATATGGCAAGATTATGTTCTGAGTTCTTCATGTTTACTATCTTACAGATTTAACTGGGCTATGGTTCCTTTATAACATTTGTAGCATTTCGTCTTAAATTTCTAATGAATTTAATTTCACTCAATTTTGAGACATATAATTCAAGTTATGTCTTAAAAACACAGCAAACGTCAATATTATTTTAATGCTGAAAATTTTCTATGCCTTGAATTATAGGTTTATTTGGATAAATGTATGTATGAATCATGTGTGATAAAGTTCTCTTGATTATTTGTATGTTTTAGGATTTATTTGACTAAAATAAGTATTTGAGCTAAAATAGACATAAGGTTGAAAAGTGGTTGTTATGGGATATGTATGGATATGTTTAAATGGATACTAAAGTTATATTATACATATGTTATGTTTACTAATTCTTCCCACGAATAAATTGTTGGAAATTTTGGGGAAAAGTGTGGAATTGGTTTAGATA